TATATATTGTAGTTATGTGTATATGTGTTTTATTAATTATAAATAATTTTATTTTTAATATATATATATATATTTTTATATATATGTGAATTTATATATATATATATATTAATTTAAATACATGTAGATGAATATTTGGATATTTAATAATATTTTTGAATGCTGAGTCAGCAGTTTTTTTTACTGAGTCAGCAGTTTTTTGCTGAGTCAGCAGTTGCGTTGTTTGATTTGGAAAAAATTTAAAAGTTTGCGTATTTATGTGGGAGTTTTGAAAAGTTCAGGTATTTATATGATAATTTTATAGTTCGGGTATTTATTTGGGATTTTTGTAAAAGTTCGGGTATTTTTATGCGATTACCCCTTGAATTAATATTTTTAATAAATTTCAACAAATTTAGAATTTTGATTCATTTCATCTCATTTGGTTGAATGTGTTTGTGAATGGTTCATATACAATTAAGTCACCTGTTAAAAAAATATATAATGTTTTCATAAATTTATGATTTGTGTTTAGAAACTCTTTCTTTTGATATAATTAATATAATAAACATCATTCATCAAATAAAAATATATGTTTTACACCAAATTTGTGCTGATTCACGAAGTGACAAATAAGTCATAATTAAGTTGTAAAATGTTAGTTGTTCTCGTTTTTCGAGATATAAGACATTTGACTTTTTTAGTAATTTACGATGTTAACGTTTTGATCTTTTGATTTCAGTTATTTTTTGATAGTTTGATATTTTGACTTAATGTTTTGATTTTTGGACTTTAGTTATATTTTGACGGTTTAAATTTTTTATATTTTGACTTTTTGATTTTTTTCGACTACTTTTTCAACATTTCTTTTATGTAACTTATACATTATTACTTATTTACGATCATACATGATTTTTCAACAAACGTACAGGTTAGTTAATACATCCCAAAGTATATCCAAAAAATTATAAAAAAAAATCATATCACAATAGCGATTCAATCGCTTACAAAAAATGATAACAATTAACCGTTGAAATGTTCAACATATGTTGTTGTTTCGTTATCGACACATATAGTCTTCCGATTTTCTTCCTCCCCTTTCCATTCAAATATTCCATCGCCATTTTTTTTCTTCCAAAAACCACCGTACCGAATGTAAACAGATGTGTAACAATCTTCATAATCATCTATATTCCTGTAAAAATATCTAACATTTATCATTTTTTCCAAAATTTCGTTCTTCACAGCAATGTCTACAGTAGTTTTGTTCTATAATATCAAATCCTAAAATAGAAAAAACAACTACTCGAAAATCATTGGGTCTTACTAGTATCTTACATATTCACCGAAATTTGATTTAAATTGCATAATAAACTGGAAAAAAAACTAAGATTTGGAGTTGCATTTATCTTTAAATGGCGATGAAATATAGAGAAGACAACAGGAAGGAAATATCGATGGAAGAGAGAGAAGATAATGGAGTCTGAAATTGTGTAGTGCACATTTTAAAATTTTAATTCATTAGAGTATTTTGGTCATTTTTTTAAGGTTATATATGTCATTTTACTTCAATTTTGGTGTAAAATCTGATAGTTTTTTTTTTGCATTTTGAGAGGTGTATCAGTGATACACATGTGACGTATAAAGGGTATCTGTGAAGTTTCTCCGAACAATTAACAAAGAGGAATATCTTGAGATGTTAGTGGTGTAATTCGACCCGGAAGGTGAGAGCTAAAAACATTGGTTCAAGAGCTAGATTATGTGAAGTCTTCTATCTATTTAGTCTACGACACCGTTTCTGCCACAGGATGACCTTGTTGCTTGGCCCTCCAGGTTGTGGCAAGACTACGCTGCTTCTGGCAGACTCGGCAACACTTCTTTGCAGGTTAGAATTACAGTTTACAAGCAACAAAATAGAGAAACCAAGAAGATCAATAGATGCTAGGAGGAAAATGATGTGTTTCATTTCCTTTTTTCACAGGCTGAGGGAGACGTATACTACAGTGGACATCTGTTTCCAAGCTTTAATTCTAGAATCAATAAATTAAGTGGCCAACAAGATTTGCATTAAATATCATTCATTCAAACCAAATTATCAAACTCATAGTTGCAAAAATAATTTATGAACACATGATCCTTACACACCGCAAATCCCTAACCTACAATGAAAAAAAACTACTCACACATGACGGTAACAACAACAACAATTAAACGACAACGAATAAAATTAAGGAAGAGGGAAAGATATGTTCAAAGATGTATGCGGCAGCTTCCTCCTCTCCAACTCTTGCTCTCTGACTCTCTCAGATACATATTATATATATACATATGCATTTCATATATATATATTTATAAATATATACAAGTATATATTATTCATATATATATATATATATTTAATAATACATATGCATAATATACATATATATATACATGCATGCATATTATATATATACATATAATTATGTGTACACAAATATATATGTGCATATATTTATATACTTACATATATACATATAGTTATGTATAATATATACTACGTACTAACACACATATATATATATATATATATATATTATATTATATGCTTTATCGTGTGTAACGATAGTGCCATCGTGTTTTTTTTTCAGATCGATTGTTGCACTCATTCGATTTTGTCTGAATCTCATGAAAATTCTTCGATGAAGCTCGTTTTCCGTTCTTTTCTACAAAATATAAAAAAATCGAAATCGAAGTAAAATTATACAAATAATACCTATAAACATATAAATCTCGTGAAATAAAATATAAATTATATACAAAAATATATTAATATATACATGCTATGTTATCACAGTTCAAGCAGGCGGCTTGAGCCCACGAGGAGCTTCTGTAGTCCTGTCGTGTGGGAGACTTGTGATAGAACACGAGTTCCCGGAAAAGCCTGACGTGTGTCATTCCAATACTGTGTACATATACAAGCAATCGACAAAGCTAAATCTCCAGAAAATCAGGAGATGATAGAGCCGAACCAACCAAATACAAGCAACTGAATATACGCAACATATTTGGAGAATATCTCCCGAAACTCTCGCCAACACCCCCCCTCAAGTTGGTGAGTGTAGATTCAACAGGCCCAACTTGTCCCGAAACCATGCAAACTCCTTCTTACCCAATGCTTTGGTGAAAATGTCCGCCATTTGATTGTTTGTCGATACGTGGTGAGTGGATATATTTCCGTGGTCGAGATGATGACGAAGGTAGTGGCAATCGACTTCGATGTGCTTCGTGCGTTCGTGATAGACATCATTCGATGCAATGTGCAAAGCCGCTTGACTATCACACATAAGCTGCATGGAATCGGAATTATCAACGCCAAGGCTAGACAACAAGCTTTTGATCCATATTAATTCGCAAGTTGTGAGCCTCATGGCGCGATATTCGGACTCCGCGGAAGAAACAGACGGGATCGATTGCTTCTTGGTCTTCCAAGAAATCGGCGACAAACCGAGCTGAATGAAGTAACCGGTCAAGGACTTTCGTGTGAGAGGACAACCAGCATAATCTGCATCGCACCATCCTCGTAAGCGTAAGTCAGAATCAGCTCGAAACACAATGCCTTGACCTGGGTTAGATTTCAAAAACCGAACAACATGGAGAGCAGCATTCCAGTGGTCTTGACGTGGTTGTTGCATGAATTGCGACAGGATGTGAACACTGTATGACAATTCCGATCGAGTCACGGTCAGATAAATGAGACGACCGACCAACCGCCGATAGCCACCGGGATCAGCAAGCAACGGACTGTCTGATAGAGCCAAACGGTGATTTTGCTCAATTG